TTTGGGCCCGGTCCCGCTGGTTCCCAAGGGTCCCACTTGGTCCCAAGGGTCCCACGTAGGTCTCAACTAGGTCCCAGCCAAGAGGAGTTCCACCTGAACTTAGTTCAGTCTCTACTGCACTGAAAAACGAAATTTCAACTTTTGGCAGAACCTACAGACTACAACCGTTCGGTAATGAAAAGACAAAGCACTGTAGAAAGACTCGGCATGTATGTCAAGATACTTCATTTTCCATCCATCAGGTGAGTAGGTAGATCACATGCATTCAGTCACACAATCAAGACCACAGAGGAGTAGGAAAAGAAACCCAGAGTACCCCAGCAGGACAACCAATACGATACACACATACATGGGCATCCTGTAGGTGCACGACACTTACCTGAGTGGCCTTGAGCTTCGAGATGAAGAGAACTCACCCCCCTTCTCATGTGGTCCTCCTGACCCATCTAACGCTACCCCTACACTAGTGTCCTATCTCCTAGGAGGGTCTGACTGCAACACCCAAGTGCAACGCCGGATCCCCCGTCGATGCTGAAGAACAAAGTAGCAACTTGCAGTCCGTTGATGCGGAATGGCCGCTGACCCTCAAGCTCGCCTACTTGAGGGCAGCCCTTAAGTTGCCAAGTGTCTCCCTTGACTCAGATTCCAGGTGCGAGTGCCTCTCACTGTCGCCTCTCTCAAATCGCCGCATGAAGTCTCCTCGAAATGTCTCGCCACCCTAATCTCACTCTCAAGCAACCTGGTTAGGTTCTATGTTGACCCCACATGACCTAACCAGGTGGGGGCAGCTTCCCTTAACCACGCTGCCCCACTTCCCTCAACCATCCAACCCTAACCCTAAGTGTTGCCCTCAACCACTTAGGTTAGGGTTAGGGCAGCAAAGTCAACTCTCACCAGCAAGTAGAATCTGCTCCGATACCAATATTATGACCCTGGCCAATTTCGAGATACACATTCACTGGAAAGTACAATGCCATCCAATTGCAAAAAGAAATGAATGAACTTGAGAGGAGAGAGAGGAGTAGAAGAAGAAGAAGAAGTAAGAAAGAAGAAGAAGAAGATGTACATCAGCAAAGACAATGACAAGGCTCTTCTTCTTCGCCCAACAATCTCCTCCTCCTTATCTCCCCCTTCTCTTATTCATACAAGAAATAATGATACAATGTTGAATGACTGGTCCAGAATCATGTCCGAGTCCCTCTTCTACTGCAGGTACCACTCAAGGTCCACCATAGCCATGGCCGCCTCTTCCACTCTTCACTCTCATAGGCCGAGGCTATGGCGGACTACTAGGCCTTGCTCAGATGTCCAAAAGACAACCCAGAACCCAAAGCAGCTATGGCTGCTCAAGCTCTGGCCACCATGCCCAACCCTGCCTTGAAGCTTCTTGGTGTGGCTCTCCCCAGCTGGGGACTCCTTGCTGCAGCGCCCACCAAGGTGATGAAGATGGCTGCCACCATACCCAGGTAAGTACCCCTGGTGCTCCTCCCCCTTCCTCCTTCCTTCCTCCTTCTTCCTTCCTCTAGCCCTTGTTCTTCCTCCCCAGCAGCGCAGCTCCAGCCCAGCGCTGCTCCCTCCAGCGCTCCACCAGTGTGTCGCCAAACTTGCACACCGAAAAAGAGGCCGGGTCTTCCGCCCGGCCAGAAGATACAGCGGCCTGCTTGCCTCTTGGGCGGTGACTTCCAGGCCGCTGGCCTTCCCAAGCAACCGGTACCTCCTCCTCTTTTGAGGTCAGGATCGGGGAGAAGAAGTTCCCAAGCAACCGGTACATCATTGCAGACTCTGATATTGCCCCTACAGGCCCTAGACTCAGACTGGTACCCGCTAGACCTAGCCTACACTACCGGCCTCTAAAAATGCCACTTTTGTCTTCTTCTGCTCGGCCTCCGGTACCTGCATATTTACCCCCCTACCGGGTGCAGTACCGGCCTACCCGCTACTTGAGTGCTTTTCCCCTTCTGCAACCCTTCAAAGCCACGGCCACAGGTAAGTACCGGCCCTGAGGGCCCAACGAATGAACAAGTGCCCTGGTGGGCTACACACACACACCCCCATACCAACCAGCACTCAGACAGGCACAGTCACACACGCAAGCCAACCAGCACTCAGACAGACATGCAGTCCAGCAAGCACACACACACAGACTCAGCAGGCGGGAAACTCAGTAGGGCATTCAGTCTATGAGCAAAACTCAGAAATCAGCTGTGTGTTTCAGTCCAGGTTTGGACGGGTTATCACAAGTAGAAAAAAACATTGGCCCATGCCATGGGGTCACACTAGGTCCATCCCTGAACAAAAAAAAAAAATCCACCTGCCCCCAGGTGGGCCCTGTCGTGAGTCCCCTAACTTTTCGGAACTCGAATTCCTCAGATGTACTGGTGGTTTAAGCCCCTTAAAAACGAATTTATACACCCCCCCCCCCCCTTGTGGACAGCCAACACTCGAAAAAAGGAAGCAGCCCGGACTTGGGCTCCTCTGGTCATGCTCAGAAACCTGCAGGCACAGGTCATCGTGTTTAATGTTTTAATTAATGACGTATCCGTTGAGTTCGGGAGAAAACTGTCTCCATGTTGCTTTATCCTCCCTCTGTGTGTGGTCTTGTCCCTACTGCCAACCTCTCTCTCTCTCTCTCTCTCTCTCTCTCTCTCTCTCTCTCTCTCTCTCTCTCTCTCTCTCTCTCTCTCTGAAAACCTTTAACCAAAAAAAAAAAAAAGAAATAGTAAGAAGCCGCAGACGACTTGCCCGGGTTGCACGGCCGTGCTGCAGGTTTGGGAGAGCCAGTAGCCTGGCAAAAACAGAAAAGTTCTTTTTTCCCGGCCCTGCCGGATGCTAGGCAGGGCCGAAAAAAATAGGGGCATATTTTTCATTGGTGCCCCAGGGCGTGACTAGTGCAGTGGGCCACCCCAAAAAAAATTGGCTGTTGGCCATAGGGTCTCCAATCCATGCCGGGATCTGGACAGCGGGACCAGACATCAGAGTCTGGACGGTGCAGATTCCTGTCTGGATGTCTGAATCACTGCCATACTCCACACCCTGGTGTACACCTGCTCGCTTTCTTGTACCTGCATGTTACATTTGCTTTACTCCCTCCTTGCAACACCCTCGCTTTCAACCAGTTGTTATGATCCTGGCCAATTTCGAAGTACACATTCATCAGAAAGTACAATGCCGTCCAATTGCAAAAAGAAATGAACGAACTTGAGAGGAGAGAGAGGTAAGAAGAAAGAAAGAAGAAGAAGATGGAAGTACACCAGCATAGACCAATGATAATGCTCTTCTTCTTCGCCAACTACTCTCCTCCTCCTCATCTCTTCGTCTCTTATTTAAACAAATAATAATAATAATAATGTTGAATGGCTGAACCAGAATCAATGTACGAATCCCTCTTCTACTGCAGGTATCATATGAGGTCCACCATAGCCATGGCCACCCTTCTCCTTCCTCTTCTTGAAGGCCTAGGCTATGGCGGACTGCTAGGGGCTTGCCCTGATGTGCAGAAGACAACTCAAGCAGCTATGGCTGCTCTAGCTCAGGCCGCCATGCCTGACTCTGCCTCGCTTCTTGGTGTAGCTCAACCACCTGCTGATTCCTTCTTGCTGCAGCTCCCACCAAGGTGATGAAGATGGCGACCCCCATAAGCCAGGAAGTACCTCTGGCGCTCTTCCCTTCCCAGTCCTTGTGTGCCTTCTCCCCGTGTCCTTGCTCCATCCCCAGCAGCGCTGCTCCAAGCTAGCGCTGCTCCAGCCAGCGCTCCAACCAGTGTGTTGCCAAACTCGCACACCGACAATGAGGAGGAGCACCTTGCTTCTCCTGGAGATATAGCGGCCTGCTTGCCTCTTGGCGAGTGACTTCCTAGGCCGCGCGGCCAACAAGCAACCGGTACCTCCTCCCTTTCGGAGGGAAACATCACTGCAGGCTCTGATATTGTCCGTACAGGCCCTAGACTCAGACTGGTTCGACAGGTACCCGCCTAGACCTAGCCTACACCTACTGGGCCTCTAAAAATGCGAACTTTTGTCTTCTTCTGCTCGGCCTCGAGTACCCGGCACATCTACCTCTACTTGGTGTGGTACTGGCCTACCTGCTACTTGAGTGTTTTCCGCTGTGTTGCAGGCCTCTTTCCCAGCCGCTTGAGTGTTTTGCCTGCTGCAACCCTCAATGTCATGGCCACAGGTGAGTACCAGCCCTTCGGGCCCTCCGAACAACCAAGTGCCCTTGCGGGTCACACACACACTCAAGCCGACAAGCACTCAGACAGGTATGCAGACCAGCAGGCATACACCCACACGACTTAGAAGACTTAGCAACAAGCGGGAGACTCAGTAAGGCATACATTCCATGAGCAAAACTCAGAAATCAGCCGTGTGTCTCAGTCCGTGTTTGGCAGGCCATTACACGGTCCTGTTTCCGTCTCCCATCCAGTACTTTTCCACTCCGTGTGAAATTATTCTAAGTCGACATTTCTCTCAATTCAACACCTCTCGATTTCACACATGTGACTTCCAACTGCTTTACCAACTCTTTGATGATCAAGTAACACTCCCCCATGAACACAGGCGAAGTTGCGAGGGCTTATCTTGTGTTGCCTTGAAGGGGTTAATGAATGCAGACGGTCATGGTTCGACTTCTGTAGGCTAGGTTCAATGCTTATGTGGTGGCTCTCCTTCAAGGAGTAAAGGTTATCCATATCAACCTGTTGTGGTGAAGGGTGTACCTTCAGCCTTTTTTCAGATTTTAGATGCTCATGTGGCGTGGAGAAAGCTATTGAATGGAAAGAATTGATGGGAGTGAGGGGCTTTTTTCAGATTTTGGATGCATTGCTTTACGTAGGTCATGTTTGTTCCTTCCATGCCAACTTTCCAGAACCCTTCGCTTAGATTAGCAAAGCCATACCGGGCTATCTGTATTTCATTTTTGCAATTTTGAAATCCTCGCGTTTGCATCTTTTGTATGTTTGTATGAAAAGGTTTGACGATGGGAGTGTGGCTTGACTTCTGTAGGTGAGGTTTGATGCTCATCTGGTGGCTCTCTTCAAGGAGGTGAGAAACATGGAATGGCTGGGAATGGCAGTCCCGAGTGAGCTCGTGACAACTGCTCTTGATGCACATCGGGCTTATCCTGCCGCCATGGCGCTTTTCCGGCTACTTGAAGCGCATGAGAATGCAACTGCTGCATTGCCAGCCTCTATGGCACCTCTTGCAATGGCATCTCAGAAGTTAGTTCGAGAAACAATATCACGAGGTACACGAGGGAAAGGGATCTTGCAAATGAGGGGGTTATTTGGTTGCCAGGCATTTGTTATGTTAAATGGTGTTTCGCAGATCATGCTTGTTCCCACTACTTGAAAGATCTCTTTGCCAGCCATCCAAAAATGGCTTATGGTATTTGGAAACCTGGGAAAGGGATCTTGCAAACAAAGGGTTTATTTACTTGCCTGCTAGGCTACCAGAGTGGCCTGGGTGCACTTCCCCGGCCAGGCCAAAAAAAAAAAATAAAAAAAAATGTATATTATATTTTTCAACTCTCGTTCTTTTTTTTTTTTTTTCAATTTAGGAAAGAATTTTTTTTTTTTTTTCAAACAGTCCCTACAGTGCTAGTGATGCTGTTGTGTTCAGACATCACGAGCACCTGGGGAGAGGCTCCATCTATTGGTGGGGAGCAGCACCTGCTGGAAAACGGGTCCAGCGTCCCTTATATGAGAGAGTACATCATGAACCATAGACCAGTAACAGGATGAATGTCTAGAAGGTGGCCAGCATTGATTACTCTGGGGACCAGAGGATTGACTGAGCAGGTAGGTATGACCCAGCCAATGGGTCTGAGAAACATCCAGCCCTTTGTCAGGTCAGAGTTCTGGGAGGAGCGACTGGGGGGCACCAGTGGGACCTCCTTCCATCACCCTTCCCATCCCCTAAGAACTCTTGAAAACCTCTGATCATTCAAACCCTACCACCCGCCCTCACTTCATCATGATGCTGGTGACCTGACTTCTATACAGCAAAAAAACTGTCACCCACCCTTACCACGTCATGATGCAGGTTACACCACAGACAAGACAGGACAAGACAGAGTGGGACAAGAGAAGATGGAAAACACAGAAATGGAGGCTTAGCCGCCTGAAGAAATAAGACTGCAGAATGGGCTCAGAGGATACAAGAAGTTTACGGACGTATTTCCAAAGACCTCGGGTGGGGGGGGAAGGGGTCCGGAAAATCCTCTGCCGGTCTCATGGGGATATTTAGGAAAGAATTTTGATGTGACCTTGGGGCAAAAGTTGTTGGGTTCATTATTCTGCAACATAGTTTTTTTTTCCCAGATTTTTCATTTTTTTATTGTTTTATTTGTTGGGTGGGGGGGAAGTATCTTGCCTGGCCCTTGTCTGCCCCGGTTCAGATTTTTTTGGTTTTCTTTTGGGGGGGGGCGGAAGGATCTTTCGGCCCTTGTCTGGCCTGGCCACCCAGGCAACCAGGGTGACCCAAGTGGCTCAGTTGTTAGCCCAGCTTGTCTGGCTTCTTTTATTTATGTTAAACCGCAAGTGCGAGGATAATGCTCCCGTGATGCAAGTGTGCCCGCCCTAAGTGAAGGCAGGCCTAACAAATCACGAGAGGCCCAATGCTGTCAATTTTGTATTTGGGGTTCAGGCAGTTGTGTCGCGTCAGTTGGTCGAGGGAACCCAGGACCTGAGCAGCAAAAACTTTTTTCTTTTTTCTTTTTTAAACGGGGCCTTATGGTCCCGGCTCCATTCTATTCTGGGGAGCATCAGTCCGGTTCCTATTCCACCGGCAAGTCAAGGAAACATACATGATTGGGGTTCACTCACGCTTCCTTCCGTCTGGCCGAAGGACCCCTGGACAGCATTGATTACTCCACCTCAGTGGAGGATTGACTGCCAGCTTGCCCGACCTCTCTCTTTCCTCTCAGACCAGCCRTTTAGATCTGCCAGATACCATCGCTTGAACCTAGAAAGAGACCCTCTATTATCTTTATCCACTCGAGCCCTTCCCACTCTACCTTTCTTTCCTTTACCTTAGCAGCCACTAAACCCTGAACCCTACATCCTCGGTCTTCGTCGCGGCTCACCGATATACCATTCCCATTCAAGGACCGCCTTCTTCCTTAAAAGCCTTAGGATATTCTCGTAATTCTGCACTCATACCTTTCATCAGTCAAATCCTTTGTTGCCTGACCCTTACCTTCCCTCATAACCTCCCTGTTCCTACCATTTCTCTTTCTTTCCCCCAACGATTTGTTCGTCCTCTCCTCCGTTCGCACTCTCCTTCACTGGTTTGGGGGGTTCATTGTGTCCTCCAAACGCTGATCTCAGTCTTTCCTTTGATACCCTTTCTGACCATCGTCCTGGACCCTGATGCTTGTCCACAGCCTCCTTGCGTTGACCCCTCTACCCCCCTTGCTCGTATTCATTACCGTCAAGCTTCCAAAACCCCTGTTGTACTCCCAAAGTAGTGATCCGAGAGCAGATCCAGTTAAATTCTGGCTCAGTTGAATTCTGGCTCGAGGATTCCACGTCCTGATGCTGTATTTCGCTGTTCCGGTTACCTTCTTGAAGCGGAATTGTGCCACTCTTTCCAACGGATACAATCATCCCGCAACTCAGCAATTTTACCCCCTATCAACCACGTCCTGATGAACTTACTTCTAGCCTTCTTCCACTGCTCTTCATCGTCTGTCCATGTACTCTTGATCTTCTTCCATCTGCATAGAATTTCCGCCTGTATCAGAGCCTTTGTCTCCGCCCAGACTTTCTCCCGTGCGTTTGAAGCATCCTCAATCGTTCTGCTGCATCTCTCTTTCCATATGATCCAGAGTGAGGTCTTCCTGATGAGCTCGTACCAGATCCTCTCTGCTTTCCGTGGCCACTTAGGGATGTCAATTAGAAGGAGAAGCTGGGTTGGTTTCTCAGGGAACGGGGAAGTGAAGAGGGAATTCCAAAGGGTGAAGGCTCTCGCCCAATAGTCTGTTGCTTCCTTGCAGTATATTAGGCAGTGTACTATATCTTCTACTGCATTATCTGTGCACACTTTACAGAGGTCAGAACTATCTGGCACAGTCTCCTTCCTCCTGATGTGCAACCACTGATTGACTGGTAACGCTGCGTAAGTGATTAACCACTGAAGGCTTCTGATTTTGACTGGTCTGATCGCCTTATATGCTTTCCACGGGATCCTCGTAATTTTATCCGCCTCTTGGCCTAATAGCTTTAACCATCTTGCTTTGATGACGGGTTCAGGATTTTTCGTTTTCAGCATAAGTTTATACCCTAACTTGACCGTGTATTCCTGTATGAAAGTACGCTTCTTAATATTCTTCTCCTTGTCCGGTTTCCATGCCCACTCCCCCGGGTCGAACTCCAAGTCTCAAATGGCTGTGTCGATTCTGAAGATAAATTTAGGCCACTCGCCTAGCACTCTCACTTTCCTGAGCAGGAAGTGCTCCATGACTGCGGTTTCTACATCAGCGTTCACGATCGAAGGCCTACCCTTCGCTGTGTGTCTGATAGGGAAGGATGTGAAAATCGCCTGGGTGGTTGAACCTTGTTGAAAGTGTGAGAACTGAAACGCTCTAGAGGGATAGCTTTCTTGGATTTTAACTCCCCATTCTCCACTACTCCACTCCCCGCCCTGTTTAATATCACTTCCCACTCTGGTGGAACCAGACCCATTATGTACTGTAGATTGGGGCCTCTCCTGTGGCACCCCTTGAGCCGAGTAACTCTTGCTCAGATATCCAGTCCTTAACATCGTCGTTCCACAGGTGTCCAATTGTCCAAACTCCATTCTTTACCCATGAGAGCCACCTGTGATTTAGGAAGAGAGGTTCATCGCTTTCACTCCTCATCCACTCGTTGCCAAACAGTGGTTGCCTCAATATTTCGTCCTTGGATTTAGGTCTGCTGGATTTCTTAGGCATAATAGACCTCCAAAGCCGGATGAGAGCTGCCCAGTACGGCGAGTGGTGGATATCTGCGTTCTGTGATATTTCCCCTCTAGTTCTCCTCCTCCCTTTTTTCAGCGACCATTCTTTGTTCATTACCCAGAATAGACCAGTCATGTTATTTGGCGTTGGGACCGGGCCCGACTCCCTTTGTTAGCAACCGAACGATCCATTTAACTTGGAGAGCTTTCGTCTCACATTTCGGGTCGATAATCCCCAGTCCCCCTTGAACTGGTTTCCTTGTAATGTATTGCCAGGCTATTTTGGGAATACAGTTTCCTCTATTGGGGTTACCCGTCCACAGATATGCTCTCGCTACCCGGTTTAGTTCTTTTAGCGAGTCATCCGGAATGGTCCATACCGCAGCAATATACCACATCATGGAAAATACGGAAGTGTTAAGGGCCAACGCCCGACCCATCATTGAGGTGCACGTGTGCCCCCACCTCCCTAGCTTGTTCAGCTGTTTAGCTAACATATTTGGGCCCATTTGTGGCGCCAGACCCCTTCGTGTCATGAGGATACCCAGGTATCGAGTGGGGGTGTCCGGCGTGTCCCAAGTCATGTCTGCCTCCGGGCCTTGCAGATTAGGAATAGGATCTCCAAGAGCCACCAGCCTATAGTTTTTTTCCAGTTGATTTTCATTTCTGACGCCAGTCTGAATGCTTCCATTGCCCTGGAAAGCGCCATAAAGGACGAATCTGATGCTCTGATCAGAACCGTCATGTCATCTGCAAACATTATTACTGTCGGGAACTTGAGATGGTCCACGGCCTTCTAGGCCCTTTTTCTGAAGTGCAGGCCCTGGGCCACATTCGCAGCAGCATACACAGACAGTTGGGAGGCGTAACTGAACGAGGCCCAGCTACCTGGGGTCTACCGGAATCTTCTGGGCGCAGGCCCAGCCCGGCCAGGCCGCACGCCAGTCCAGACTCTTTCCATATAGGAAAGAGTCCGCTTCCCAGGAGCTCATTCAGGCACTTGCCAGTTTGGGGCAGCCCTGCTGCAGCGGACGCTCGCGTGCTGCTGCTAGCGCTAGGGGCAAGGCGGCAGCCCTGCTGCAGCGGGCGCTCGCATGCTGCTGCTAGCACTAGGGGCAAGGTGCTGTGCACGTGCGGTCATATGGGAAGAAGGGCGCTGCTGAGGGCAGCGCCATAGCTCAGCGTTCATAGCTGCCTGGGCTTGGAATACAGCAAGGCGCAGGGGTGATCTTCATGTGTAGAGAGGGAAGACATGGGAGAAAGACGATGGAGAGAGAGACATAGAGATGGGGATGATGATGTGAGGGCTCATACCTGGTATTCGTAATGGTCTGCATTGGGTGACGTCTTCATGTACTTCAGTGGCTGCTGACGTCAACGGGTGCATTGTCAATTCATAGACAGATAGTAGCTGTGTTGGGGAGTAGTCTGGGCGCCGAGCGCCAAGTAGGGGGAAGGGCCTGGACTCTGATGTTGGTGATGACGGGAGTAAACTCTTGTTGACATTCGGTTTCAGTGTTTCGAATCTCCATTGGTGTAACATTGGTGCATTACTGCTTTCTAGACACTGTGAGACTTTCTGGCTTTCAATGTGATCGTGTAATCTGGATTCTGTGATCTCGCTATTGCTCATTTTCCTTGCAATTTGGTATCGGAGCTGGTTCGAGCTGCGCTTACTGGTTCTTCGCAATAGCTGTTCGGTGCTTCGCATAAGGTGTGGGGCAGTGATAAGGCTTGGGCGTTGAACGATTGGCAGCTCGACCTCCCGGGAAGGCTATGCGGTGACATTGGGATGTACGCTGGAGATGTGGCATTTAAGCCGGGGTGGAACTGCATTTCACTGTTTGTTGTGCCGAGGCAAGGACCGGTCATCACAAATGCACGTCAGGTTGCCGGTGAAAAATCTGTGGTTGGGGGCGGCATTATGAGGTACGTTGCTTTCTTCCTTATCTACCCTCTTCATTACTTCTTATCGTGAGGAAGTGAGTTCTGTCTTGAGCGAATCCTCTGAAGGGCCCTAGATGAAGCACTCGGGTCATAGTCACCATGCCAACCCGTTGGGACTAGTACACGCATGCTTTGCCCCAATTCCTTGGTTCTGCTTGCTGCGCAATAGAGGTCATGTTGGGCATGCCAGCCCTATATGAGACGCTCACCAGACCGTCTACAAATATTTCTGGCGGGTTCCGCATTGATCCCTGGTTGTGATCGTCATCCTGTCTGCGACGTTAAATAATTCCTGAGGACCTTGGGGGCTGTAAACTGCCTCTTGATCAGCCAGATCAACCGGAAGTAAGGCTCATTGCATGCGAGGGTAAACAAGATGGGCACAAGGGTGGGCCGGATTGCACACCTTTAAACACGCTGCTCAACCAGATGCTCAGGACGTCGACATAAGTGACTACTCAAGAGGGATACAGGGGGAGGGGGGATTCCGGTAACTGTCCGCTGTGGAATTAATTAGATAAACTGCCATCCAACATGCATCTCCACAGGTCATCTATTTTTATTTTTGATTATTTAGTTGTACAGACTTGGTGACAACTGACAGACAGCTGCAAATAGGATAGACCATTCTTTGCGGCATTGCATTCTGTTGTAGAATAATCTAAAAATAGAAATAGAGTTACCTTTAGGACCTTGTTGGTGACTACTTCACTACTTTTCTCCAGGCTGACCGAATTAGTTTATTATTATTACTCGGTTGGGTGTCATGTTGAGGTAGGATTTAGTGTGGATTCTAGTTTAGATCACACACCACTGTAGCTCGTGAGTGAAGCAACTAGTAGTAAGGAGGAGGAATGATTAGTGGAAGATCTTAGAGTTACCCGCAAAACTGCTCTCAGTCGACCGATCACTTTCCATGAGTTAGGACTAGGAGAGGAAAGGAGGTTGCGGAGGGAAGGCAGGGAGAGGGTGGCATGACGGAGGTCTAGGGCAGCAGCAGCCAGCGTCGAGGCCGCAATGGCTACCGATGTTACGGACTCAGCCAGGGCTCGATTCCTGGTCCGTGTGTTACCACCTGCCAGGCTGCTATTTTATTCTGAGTTCCTGATCTCCGGTTCTTGACTGTTGGCGCCCTCTGCAGTTGGCGCCCGTTCTCGAATCTCTCCACGGGCACTTTCGGATTTCGATACTTGGCGCCCAGACGCAGACCTGCGATCCTCAGTTCTGTCCTGAGGCAGGCCGCACCTCGGCCCTCTGGACCGAGCCTGAGTCCAGTACTCAAGTCCGGACTCAAGCCCTGTTGGGGCATTCAATCTTCGGCCTCAGTGCTTGTGCTTCAGCGTGACTTGCCGCGAGTTTGTGTTCGAAATCCAAGATTGCGACTTTGCGACTTTGAGACTTTGTCACTTCGTGTCTGCGTCTGTTGTGTCGAGTCGAGTCCATGTCCGAGTCGAGTGAGTGTGTGTGTGTGCTCTCCCTCTCTCCCTCTCTCTCTCTCTCTCTCCCTCGACCTCTCTGCTCTGCCTCGGTCTCGTCACACTGTACTGGAGCAGCGAAACGGCCCTCCTTCCTGCCCTGCTCCGGCGCCGCCTGGTCATCAACATCATCGTCATCGTCATCGTCTTCGGTGCTGCCACGTCATCGCCATCGTCATTGTTGCCATGTCATTGACATTGTTGCCTCGTCATCATTGATTGCTGCCACGTCATCGCCATCGCCGTTGTCTTCATCGTCGCTGACACGTCAGCACCTCGCTGCCTTCGTCGTCGTCGCTGCCACGTCACCGGTCCCGAAGTCGACACGCAGGTAAGTGACCATTAAATTTTATTTTCTTCTTCTCCTTCTTTTTTCCTTCCTCCTCCCCTCATCTCTTCTTCCTCTCTTCCTCCTCCTCGTTATCATCATCGTCATCGTCCCTCCTTCTCCCTCCCCTTCTTTCCCCCTCATTTCCCTTCTCACTCTTCCTCTTCTCCTCTTTCAACCGTCCTTTCAGCCCCCCTCCCCGACCCCCGTGCGATTTCCCGCGCGATTTCCCTGCCCCTGCGCTTTTCTTCCCCGCCGCACGATCTTCTTCCCCCCCCCCCCCCCCGATTTACCCCGACCTCGATCATGCCCAACAGCGATCGCAACTCCCCCACTTAAATTTTCTAATTAATTCTTATTCGGAATTTCAGTAATTGGAAAACATTTTAAAATTAATCAAACTTTTTTTTTTTCTTTTTTTTTTTCGTAATTCGAAATACGTAGAATTAATTAATTCTTTTTCGACATTCCTTTGAAATTTGAAACTACTAATTAAACCCTAATGAGGATTTTAGTTGCGGTGTTTTAGGAAAGCGGGTATCGGGGATTTGGTAGTGTTTTCTTTAGGAAGACAGTGGTTTTTCTACAGGGGAGGGGCTCCACCCCATGATGAGGATTTGGAGACCTTGCTACCCTTGAATCTGCAGTTCTTTGACATTGTATTTCTGCCTTGGGCACTGGGCCCTGATAAAACTACTGTCTGTAAGAAAAAAAAAAGAAACCACTTATTCATTCTTTTTCGAAAATGTTGAAAATATGTTAGAATTAATTAAATTATTTTTTGGTATATATATATATAAATTCGAAAATAATTTTACTTAATTTTTTTTCTCGTATATTTTAATTACTAAGAACAAATTCTCTTTCGAAACTCTCGAACTTTGGGAATATTTTACTTAATTCCTTTTGAAATTTCACGCTTTTCATACCCGAATGCGAAGCACAAGGCCTCGATAAGCCCTACTGGGCCCCTATTTGCAACAAGCGTCGGCTGCCCTAAGTGAAGGCAGGCTCGACAGACCTCAAGAGGCCTATTTTGGACTACTACGCAACTGGGGAAATTCAGGCAGTTGCGCAGTGCCAGTCGGTTGGAAGCGCCCAGGCCCAGGCTGCCTTGCATTGCATGTAACGAAGGCAGGCCCTGGGCCGGATACACAAAGTGGACCGAACAAAGGCTGAGGGCAGTTGGGTGCTGGTAACCACCACAGGCCCTGGGCCTGTTGACTTCGGACTGAGGCTCAGCCTCCCTGGGCCTACCGGAAGCTTCTGGACCGGGGCCCAGTACCGCAGCACAGCACGCAGTCGCAGGCCACTTCGATATAGGGAAGGGCCTGCCTACGCATGGGACATTCGGGCACTGGCTGCTTTGTGCGCAAGCGCTGCTGCGCTATCGCCTGCCAGGCTCACGCGCTCACGGGCGAGCTGGAAGGAGCAGGCAGCCATAGTCGAGCTGCGCTGCTGTATGCTGGATGGGGCGCATGGTGGTCCTTGGGTGCAAGTGGCATCTGTGAGTTGGGGAACGAGGTTGTGACTGATACGAGAGACATACCTGGTGCTTGAAGCATGCGACATTGGCCGAGATCTGCTCGTACTTCGGGGAGCTGTTGACGTTATCAGCGGCATTGTAGAGTAGGCTAGATAGGATCTGCCATATGTAGTCTGGGCGCCTAGTGCCAGATAGGATATGAACATTGGTTCTTCGTTGATGATGATGATGAGACTATTCCAACATTGTCAATTATGAGCTTTTGGTGCACTCTTATTTGGTGAAACTCGTGATGCAATTCTGCTTTTGGTTCGAGGTCACGACTATCTGGTCTCATGTGTATGATGCTGTTTGATTGCTGAAGTTCGCTATGCTCATCTTCCTTGCAATTTGGTATCGGAGTTGTGGTTCGGTGCGCTAATCTGGCACTTATCTTCTGCCTAATGCGGTACATGCACGCGGTGTGTACGGTGAGCGACCGTGCCGTGGGACGTGTGTAGTGAGGAGGGCGAAGATAAGTGGCGACCCAGGAGGCGAGGGTTATCGCTAGGAAGGCTGTGCGGTGTAATGTGGGTTCTGGATGTTGTTTGATTGATGAAGTTCGCTATGCTCATCTTCCTTGCAATTTGGTATCGGAGTTGTGGTTCGGTGCGCTAATCTGGCGCTTATCTTCTGCCTAATGCGGTACATGCACGCGGTGTGTACGGTGAGCAAGCGTGTCGTGGGACGTGTGTAGTGAGGAGGGCGAAGATAAGTGGCGACCCAGGAGGTGAGGGGTATCGCCAAGAAGGCTATGCGATGTAATGTGGGTTCTGGATGGTGTGATGAGAACTATCTGATGTGCGATTGGTGCTGAGGTGGAACAACGTGTAAAGCTGGTTGTGCCGAAGCAACGACTGGTCATTACAATCGGCGTCAGGTCATCAGGTGAGATTATCTTTGTGGTTGGGGGCAGCTATTTAAGGTACGTTGCTCTTAACCTTATCTACCCTCTTCGACACTTCTTACCGTGAGGATGTGTGTTCCATCTTGAGAGTCCTCTCATTGTGAGGAGTCGAGTGCGCTCAACCTTGAGAGTCGGCAATGTTCACGTGGAGCATCTGGGGGAAGATGGGCGGAGCTTTCTGAAGGGCCTGGGACGAAGCACTGGGTCACGGTCACCATGCCAACCCACCGGGAGTAGAGCACGCAAGCTTTGCTGCTTGTCCTTCGTTCGGCTCGTTGAGCTGGTAGATGGGTTCTGAGGGGCAGGCCAGCCCTATGTGGGAGAAGAATTGGGCGTCTATAAATAAACACCGGCAGGGGAAACCATTGGCTGTGATCGTCATCCTGTTTGCGACGTTAAATAATTCTTGAGGACACTTGGGGGCGGTCCTTAAATAGCCTTTTGATCAACCAATCGGTGTAAGGCTCACTGCACACGAGGATAAACAGTGTGCTAGAGCTGGCTAGCTCAGCAGGACTCGGGGCACAGGGGTGGGCCGATTGCACACCTTTAGACACGCACTGCTCTCTGGATGGCTCAGGGACGCTGACGTCAAGCGACATTCAAGAGGAAGTGAGGGAGGGGTAGATTTCAGGTGATAAGTTCGGGAAAAATTCCATACTGTCCCAATCCACACAAATGATTCTATATTTATGCTTTGATAAGTTAGATGTACAACCATTAACATCTGCCAGACAGCATATTAGA